GTCAAAAAGTAAGAGTAGCATAGAGACTGAAAATAGATTTCTCCCTCATCTTGAAAGCCCTCTTAGATCAAAGACAGATACATAGTTCAGGTTTCCTTCAAATCAAGATCTCAAAGCTCGTACAATCCAAGGTTTCAAGTGCTTACAAATTCAGAGTGGACAAACAATTCAAGACTGATAACTTAGTAGAAAAAATAATATAAGTAGACAGTTCACAGAAAAAGAAAAGATGCTCAATCTCCTAAGAAAATTCAAATGTAAAAACCACACTCAGATGCCATTTTTCACTTACTACATTGTAAAGATTTAGAAGTTCTATAACTATTACTGAAAATACGAAGAAACATGTTGCTGACAGAAGAATAAATTAGTAAAATTTTTATGGAGGCAACTTGGTAATATTTAAGAACAATGAAATATATTTTTTGACTCTTGTAATTCAATTTTGGAGAAGCTTTCTACAGATACATGCCTGCCTATTGTAAAATTATTTATGCTAAGGGTGTTAGTATTAACATATTAACTAAAGACAGGAAACAATCTAAATGCCCTTAATTAGTGGATTTTGATACATTATTATACAATCATGAAATGGTATACTTTTTCAGTCATAAAACAGATTAAGAAAGTTCTATGTACTGATAGGGTAAGAGGTTCAAGATGTCTTAGATCATCGTTGGTAAACTTTTACTTAAAGGGCCAGCTAGTGAATATTTTAGGCTTTGCAGGCACTGTGATCTCTGGGAACTGCTCAGTTCTACTGTCATTGGAATGCTGCCATAGATAGTAGATAAATGAATAGGCATGACTGTGTTCCAATACTAATTTACAAAAACAGATGACTGACCTGTGGGTCACAGTTACTGACTACTGTATTAAATGAAAGAAGCAAAGTGAAGAACTTGCATAAACTGTAACATGTGAATGAAGTACTGAAAGCATTGAGAAATGAGTTCAAGCTTTGCCTGGGATATTTGAGAAAGACTTTCTAGATAAGGTGATAATTTAAACTACGTTTCTATGGATGTGTAGGAGCTCTAAAGATTAAGGTGAGAAAATGTTCTATGGAATTGGTGAGAAGTTGTTAGGCTGATGTGTGGAGTTCTTTGTTGGGAGTAAGGTAAGTTGGGGTCATATTTTTGAAGGGGCTAAATACTAATTCTGATTCCTAACCATTTTCTTCTACTTTGAAAAAATTTTTCAACACCTAGTTCTATTAAACTTCAAATTTTTGTTATAAAGATTCTTTTGCATTTTTTAAAGAAACATTTCAGATACAGTTGAAACTGCCCAGCAAACCATGTTCAGAGCACATTCTTCTCTCCAGAGAAAACAATTAACATGAATTTGTTTGTTACTCTAATCTTAACCTTTCTGCATTAACAGTATGCTCATATAGCCATAAACGTACATATATTGTGTTGTTTAGTATATTTTAAAAGTTCATCTAATGGTTTGTGATGTCATTTCACAACTTTTTTTTTTTTTTTACCCATATCTCTGTATGGACCAACTCTGATCAATAGAAATGTAATTCAAGCCATATATATACGTTAAGTTTTCTAGTAGCTACATAAAGAGGTAAACAGAATCAGATGAAGTTAATAATATTCTTTAGTAACCCAGTATACATTCCTTTTTTTATGCTAAGTCTTTGAAATCTGGTATTATTTTACTCTTCCAGCGCATCTCAATTAAGACTTGCCACAGTTTAAGTATTCAGTAGCTATCCACAAGTGATTAGTGACTTTTACTAATTGGACAGTGAACTGCTGTGATCAGAACTGAACCCTTTTGATGCTTGAAGGTAGTACATACTCCTACCACCAGGGGTCAGCTAAGTGTCATGTTGACACAAGAGAAAGTATTTTGTTTTGGAATTAGCTAATCTGTGACTGCAATGTAAAAATCATTCTGTGTCCAATAAAGGAAACCTCTCAATATTTACTGTTGGTAAGATAGGTGGAATGCAAAGGGTGGTGCAAACGTGATCCATAGCCTCTTTAGACACACTGTGACACAGTGGCTCTCTGTTCTGTCCTTACAAATGTACCCTTTCTTCATTCTTACTTGTCTGGAATAAACTATTGAGACTTTTCCGACTATTGTCCAGGAGTGTTATATTTGTAGTAAATACACTGCTTCTCCATAGTTACGCCTTAAAAACTAGGTAAACTTGTTTACTTATTTTTGCTAGTAATCTCCAGCAGACAATATCTGATTATTGAGCCATATATTAATTATATGCCTCTATTCCTGGTTTTCTAAGTTTTAACTGGGTTTAAAATCAGTTCGCCTTCTAGGTCTGTACTTAGATTTATATTTCTCTTTTTCTCCACAGAAATACCTTCATAGAAATGTCCTAGACTTTATAAGGATCCATAGCAGAAACTTTTTAGGTTGCCTTAGTTTCACATACATTATAATTAGATGGACTTTCTGTTACTCTGTTAATATGCCTTGTATAAAGACCCAACTGAAAAAAAATCTAGCTAAGAACAAAGATTTAGGGAAAAATTCCCTCCATCTTGCCTATTTGTTGTTAATTCTTGATCATTTTTTCAATTCTGGAGAGTTTTGATGTCTCTTTTTTTGTCAAAATACAAATAATCGGTACATCTATACTCTCTGCTAACTCTGAAAATAGGGCCTTGATGTATTCTGCATTTCATGGCTCCATTACAACCTTCTCATAACAGTTTTATCCAGAAACTTTCTACCACAAGGTGGGGGTATAGGGTTCTATGGCCCTGGTTAGTAAGAGAGAATTTGATAATAGCAGTAATAAAGTTAACTTTCCTTAGGTTAACAAAATAATAGTTGATACTATTCTTAAAAAAATTTTACCTTAAGGTTAACATGGTTCTTAATGTCTGCATGGTATTTTTTGTTTTAATTAACATACAGTAAAATTTACCTTTTTTTAGTGTATAGTTCTGTGAAATTTTACAGAACTATACACATGGAGTTTTGTAACTACCAAGAGGATACAGAATTTTCATCACCCCTCCAAAAACATTCGTCTTTCCCTTTGTGGTGACACACTCTCCTCACCCTTTACCTATGGTAACTGCTGATCTATCACTATAGTATGTTCTCGAGACTGTCATAAATGGAATCATATAATGTCAGCTTTCGAAATGGGCTTTTTGACTCAATAATGCTACCATGATTTCATTTAGGTTGTTTGCCACAGTAATTTTTTTACTCAGATTATCAGCCATTCAGAAATTATTAGTGTTATTTTTATGTAAAGATTTAAGTACTCTGGATTTACTTGCAAATCCTACTTTTGGTCGCATTACTTTGATTTTTAGAAAAATTCTAAGCTGACAACAGGCACATGGGAAAAATGCATGTTTGGATTGGGCAAATGGGAACTGAAAAAAGGAAAGAAGTAGTTCTGGAGAGAAGGGGTTTTTGGTGTGTCTGCTGGGAATGGAAAAAGAAAGAGAGAGACCTGGGTGCAGTGCCATACCACTTTATAAAAGGGGTAGCACAGAGTTCTATAGCTAGAAGTTTTTCAAATTCTAATACTAAACTTTCATACGTTTTTGTTAGATAACCGATATAGGTAGGCCTGAACAAGGTGAGAGGATGTACTCATTCTCTTCATTAAAAATTAAAGTGCTCGCACACGCACACACACATACATATACACATTATCTATAATCTAGAATGAGAAGAAAGCATTTTATTTCAGCGAAAACTATTATATGGCACCCTGACATTAGTTTGCCCTTATCAAGCATTATAGAATGTCCTGCTAATCATAATAAGCCTATTTGTTAGAAATCATTTTTAAAAATTTTAGTTTACACCTTATTGTATATATACAATTCAACAGTGAAACAAGCTAAATTAATTATTAAGGTTTTTATTCAGATACATGCTTCATATGTTAAGACTAAATAATCCTGGGCAAATTCCCATGTTACTATATTTGCAGACTGAATTTTCAAAAGCCCCATAGTTATGTTTGTTTTTCATTTCAAACTGGGAAATGCAAAGATTATCATAGGGCTGCTAGTAAAGAGCCTGTTAGGAACACGCCAAACTTAAAAAGACCCTGTAGTTTAAAGATAAAGAATTACGCATAGGAATAGATTTGGAAATTGGATTTGGTTTATGAACTAAATTTGGTGGATACAGACAATATTGAAATTCATTTTTAATTGTCATGACAGTTGATACACACATTTTTTTCTTTGGTTTTCTGTAGGAATGCCATTTTAGTTTCCTTAGGGTTATATTGATTTGCCAGAAGTCCAGAGAAAGGTCTTTGATTTGATAAGGCTAATTTTTAGCAGTTTGAAAGTGGAATAGATTTTATAGCAAAAGGAATTTGTGATGGTAGAGTGATGCTTATAAGTGGAGAACAGTTTGGTTGTGCTCCTGGTTGTGATATATTTGCTATCGTATATGCTCAATTAGAAGACAGTTCCTCATTTTCCCCATGAGATTATCCCCTCTCTATGCCAACTGAAATACAAGCTTTTAAAGATAGACCTGACACATTAAAATTTATATATATTTATTTACATAAATCGTATTAAATATAGAATTTAGAAATAAAATTAAATTTTGTTTTACTGTCTCAGATGATAAAATAATTTTGTTCAATCTCTTCGTATGTATTGGGATCCCTTTGAGATAATTTGTCTTCCTAAGACAGTTGTTCAGGTGACAGCTACTAGGAATATGAGTGTCTTCATAAGTCTTCAGATCTAAGGTGACTACATATTTTCTGAAAAATAATACTTTGGGGATAAAACCCTCACCCAATATCTGAACATATGATAATTCCTTATACTTTTATTTTTCATTGATATTTAGAAGTACTTCTCAATTTTAAGTAGTCAGAGTCTCAACTGAGCTTATTATTAAATATCTAAGTTTTTAGTTGTTAATGTGGATTTCATTTTTTTTTTTGTTGTTTTTTGTTTTTGTTTGTTTTTTTCCTTTAAGGGGTTGGACATAATTGCCTTATTTCATTTCAGGGATCCATCTAAAGTAAATATTCTGGTACCTGGTGCTGGACTAGGAAGACTGGCCTGGGAAATAGCTATGCTAGGTTATGCTTGTCAAGGAAATGAATGGAGTTTTTTTATGCTCTTTTCTTCCAACTTTGTACTCAACAGGTATTTAATTTACTTTTTGCTAGAAATAGTAATTTCTCAGAATCAGATTGACTTACCTATTTTTGAACAATTCTGAATTTGAAGATAAGTACATAGTGTTTAATTATGATATATATCAAATATATCTTAAAATCAATTTGCTTATACAATCATCACTTTAATCAATTGCCTAGTTAACTGAATTTTGAATAGGATGGGTGACTTTAGAAAGTGATTTGGCATTCCATGAAACTGAAATGATTTCTGTGCAGAATTTTAGGTCTAAATAGGATCCAGTAAGGAGTATTTTCTCATTGTTCCTTAAACTTCTTCACTCTTTTGTTTCTTCAGTGAAGTAAAAGTGCAGTGCAGCAAACATAACTTTTTTACTGTGATCATATTCTTACAAAATGGCCAAGTAAGCTCACGTGACTGAGTTGGAAAGATCTCTCAGAACTTCTGTGGCCTCTTTTAGTAAATGGTGGACAAGAATTGTTATTTTTAAAGCTAGGAGAGATGTGTTAGAGAAAAAAATAAATAGCTGCCTATTTAAATATGTTGTCTTGGTGGCAGTATGAGTTAGGAGATGATGAGAAGATAAAAAAGATAGGTAGCAAGCAACACCCATGCCATTTTTGAAAAACTACTTGGACGGTTTTTAACTAGAGTTTGAAGTTTGGAAATATATTTTTAAAACTCTGAATGAACAACACATTTATATCTCTGAATTTACTTCAGTTTTTTTTTTTTCTGTCTTTTAATTCATGATTAGTTACTCATCTGCATGTGTATGTGCATTTTCAGATAATTGGGTGGGGTGTAGTGGTAACATTTAAAATATTAATTATATAAGTAAACCTTCAAACAGATTGTATTTTAGTGTTTAAAGTAGATTTTCTTGGTAAAATATTTAGTTAACACTGAATTTTATGCTCATATTTTGCAGATGTTCTGAAATTAATAAATATAAGCTTTATCCCTGGATCCATCAGTTTAGCAATAACCGGAGGTCAGCTGATCAGATTCGACCCATCTTTTTCCCTGATGTTGACCCCCACAGTCTTCCTCCTGGTTCTAACTTTTCTATGACAGCAGGAGATTTTCAGGAGATATACTCAGAATGCAGTAAGTCCAAAGCAAGCATTTTAAAGGTCTTGTCCTTTATTCTAAATTTAATAAGCTAATTTTATTCTAAGCCAAAGTTTTGTCATTCAATTTGATGGTACACTACGAGGTATACATTAGTGACAATTTAGAATATTTTAAAAGTCATATATAAGGCAGTGATAGGAAATATAAAGAAATAGAAGATCCCAAAATTAAGGAATTTAGACTCTACTGGGTCTTTTAATATAAGACAACGTGTAAATAAAGTTCAAATGATTTAACGAATGTAATAAAGTTGAAAGTAAGTTAGTGCGAGAAGGGAGTTATTTGTGGAGATGCTGTAACTTGAAGGATAAGGAGGAATGGCATTCCAGGCAGGTAGAGGTACAGAGATACAAATGAATAAGGTAATCGGGACTGGTAGAACAACCTGACTGGAAGGGAAAGACAGGTTGATCTGTGGATTTAATGAGACATATGACTAGAGAAGTAGGTTGGTTCCAGATTGTGGAGGACCTTTATAATCAAGCGATGAAGTTTAGACTTCAGCCTTGCAAACTAGTGAAGAAATTCGGCTCGGCATTGGAGAAAGGAAGATAGTAATGAGGTCAGCAAATCATTCATTTAACAAGTATTTGTTGAGCACCTGGTAAGTAGCAAGTTTGTTCTAGGCATTGGTAAGAGCAATAAGCAAAACAAATCCCTGTACACAGGGAACCTTACGTATTCTAGTAGGGAGAGAAAGGCAATAACAAATTAAAATTGTGAGGAAGAAAACTAGGGCAGGGTAAAGAGGGTAATAAGGATTGGGGGAAGGGCTGCTATTTTATATAGCTATCAGGGAAGGCCTTTCTAAGAACAGAACTTTAAAAATGCTGAGCATAGAACCTCAAAAAAGGGAACAGGCAAGCCATTCAGATATTTGGGGGAAAATGTTGTAGACAGAGGGATTGGCAAGGGAAGGAAGATTAGGGAGTTAGAAGGGCACTTGTTCTGCTCAAGGAAGAGCAAGAGAGTAGGTTGGGCTGTTGTTTGGCTGGGGTGTAGTTAGTGGTGGGTGCAGTGGTGGCAGATTGGGTAGGAGAGGATTTGGTGTAGGCAAGGACTTTGAATTGTACTCTGAGAGAGGTGGAAAGCCTTGGAGGGATTGGAGCAGGAAAGTAACAAGATAGTAAAGGTTTTGTTTATTTTTCTCTGAACTCTGACATTTGGGAAACCTGTACTATGAAAGTACTTTTATTGTACCAGCATATACAGAGACACCCACCTTCAATTCATTTAGTCTCTCCTTGTGCCAGCCCACAATCTCCAAGAGACAGTGTTCTCCGTTGGGTTCCTACCCACTTTTTCTTATTGCTGCCATCTCTCATTTTCACTAGCAAGTCTCCAAAGAACTGGTGGATGTTTAAGTATTTTGATGCCATTTGTTTTCAGTTGCGAACAAGTCTAGTCTTTCTGAAACCTTTCAGAATTGTTTGTTAACACTAGTTGAAATCACAATTTAAAATTCAAATGACTATTTCATTTTCACTGATTTTAAGTGAAGGCTAGAAGTTGAATCAATCATAAAACATCATTTGGTAAAGAAATATAGTGATGTAGGTTATCAAAATGATTTTTAAATTGATTATCAAATTATTAATAAAAACATTTACGCATTGCAAAGTATCTTATAAAGGATTATTTGGCTACCTTGATTATAGTAGTTGATTGGAAAAGTTTAGCTTCTATATTCCTGCAGTTAGATATTAATATTCTATAAGAGGTAACCGGCATATTTATGCAATTAAAAGTCAAAATAACATTACAAATGTAGTAATTTGATTTTCCTTGAATAGATACCTGGGACTGTATTGCTACCTGTTTCTTCATAGACACAGCCCACAATGTAATTGATTACATTGACACAATATGGAAAATACTCAAGCCAGGTGGAATTTGGATAAATCTAGGTAAGTTCCTCAGTATTTATTAGGATTTTACACATTAATCTGAATACTTATAGATATTCTACATTTGGTAACTTCACAGTACCAAATCTTCATGAAAATTATATTGTACAAATTTTAAAACCTCTGCAGTTTCCTTTGGACTACATCCTAATTAATGACAAAGTTCCTCCAATTCTAGCTAGTTCTTCCAAAAGCAGTGGAAGCCCCAAAAGTTATATATTCATACTAAGTTAGTCTCACAGCAGTCATAATTTCAAAGAGTACTAATTATTAATCTGATGATAATCATTACCTGATTTTCCCTAACCCCCACTTTATGACAACCTTGTTAAGAGGAAAGTGTTCTTTTTTTCTTTCAGTAATTTGAGAGAAAGCACTTATCTTTTCTATGGAAGCTCCTCCCAGTACGTATGATAACTTTTGTGACTCTCTTGAGTTTAAGAAAGAATAGAAATATTTCATATATGCAAAAAACTTCTTTACTATATCTTACTGCTAGGTGCTGGAAATCAAATGATGAATATGACATGGTCTCTCCCATCAAGACTCAGGGAAATTGCCAGTTTTATCCTCTTTCTTTAAAGGGAGAATAATGATAACATCAAGATAAAACATGCCTGTCTTTTTTAGTGAGATATATAATTCACGTTAAGAAAGATATGAGGGTTAATATACTATATAAAAGTCAGATATACATTGTTTGAGTATCTAGCCTTCAGGATTGGTTTTGTTTTGTTGGTAGGTTCAGTCACCTGCTCTTTATTTTAATGATTCTACTTTACCAGAGATTTTGCCACTAGGACTAAGCCTGTGGGTAGTAGACCTTTTCCAAACTTTCTTTAGAACTCCATAGGACAGATGAGAGAGCAGCTTAGCTGTAAAATGTAATCAAAATGGATACAATTATCTCAAACCTTGGGTCTTCTTTAACAGAAAAGTGTTTATTTCTTTTCCTAAGGAATGATTGAAAGATAGCATTACCTACTGGGTGTTTGCTCACTGTGGGTTAGGCCACTTATAAATACCTCGCGTAATCTCAAAATGATTCTATGTTGAAATGACATTATTGCTATTTTATTGTTTAAGAAACTGAGTCTTGATTAAGCAGAGAGGCCCTGGACCTTACATATGGCAGAGTCAGACTTACATCCCAGATCCAACCCCTTGAATGCCTAACTAGTCTATAGGCTTGCACTGAATCAGTTTATACTTAGCATTAATCTGACTGTATTTATGTGATTAAAATTTTTGATCCCAGTTACTCAGTTATGGTAAGGTTTTGTGTATTTCCAAAGCTATTTGACTTTAACTTTCCTTTTAAACATTTATTTTATTAGTTCATTAATATTTTACTGAGTTAGTAATAACCATAATTATAACTGCCTGGAAAAAATAAAATCAGCCCTTGGTAAGCATACTATTTGATAAGAGTAGACGTGCTAGGGCAAGGCCTGTGAACATCAGAGGTAATGGGGCATGTTGGTTAAGGGGGATCAGTTAGGAGAGCTTCCACTCTTCTTACCACAGAGTTTCTAAAACGATTTTGAGAATTGGAACAATGGAGAAATACAGTCCTTAACAAGAGTTATTTGGAAGGTTAATACTTTCCAATAAGTCCTTTCCATGTATAAGTTAAAGAATTTAAAATATAATAATTATCTCAGAGTCGATTTTTCCTTAAATATTGGCATCTATTTAGTATTAAATATAGATATCTATTTAGTATTCGTCACTTTTTATGCCATGTACTCATCCCTTATTTCATATTACTCCTGCCCAATCCCATGGCTTCTTTTACTCTTTCAATTCCTAGTCTGAATCTCTGGTCCAGTTATCTCTCTTATGCTTCAAACCACTATGTCCAAATTGGATGTAGCACAAATACTTCCAAATCCATGTTTCTCAAGAAAATGATCCCTATGCTTCCCCCATGCTTTGTCTGTTCCATCTCAAATTCTCACAATCAGAAGACCTTTAGGAGAGAGATTTACTTCACTCCTCTTCATACTTACCATCTGTACCAAGTCAGTCTGCAAGTTCTATCTCCTAAAGCTCCTTAATAGCTCTTGATTCTCTTTCTATCTCAGCGTTTCTCAATTGTGGCACTATCGACATTTGAGACTGGATCATTCTTCATTTGGGGATGGGGAGGGTTGTCCTGTACACTGTAGGATTGTTAGCAGCATCTCTGGCTTCTACCTACTAGATTCCAGTAGTACTTCCCCAGCCGTGACAACCAGAAATGTCAGTTGAGACTAACCTCATGCTAGTACCTTAGTCTAGGCCCTAATCATTGCTTCCTTGGATTACTGCAGTAGTTTCCTTAAGGGTATCCCTACCTTCAAGTTATCTCTAACCCTCCATGCCCTTTTCAGTTCTCCATATTACCAGCAGAGTGATCTTGCCAACATGCAAATCTGTTCCTGTCAGACTTCCTGCCTAAAAGCCTAGCTTTCTAGTAACCTAAACTCTTCAGGATATGTACAGTGTCCTTTGTGATCTTTCTCCTATCTTCTGTCTTTGCTTCATTTTTTTTTAATCCAGGTATAACTGGCACACAGTATTATTTACAACAGTTTCAGAGATTCAACATAATTCAGTATTTGTAATATATTGCAGAATGATCACCACAATAAGTTAACATCCATTACCATACATAATTATAATTTTTTTTCTTGTGATGAAGACTTTTGAAGATGTATTCTCGTAGCAACTTTCAAGTGTTCATTACAGTATTAACTATAGTTACCATGCTGTACATTACATTCCCATGACATAACTGGAAGTTTGTACCTTTTCACTCCCTTTACTCATTTTGCCCACCCCCACCTCTGGCAACCACCAATATGTTCTCTGTGTCTGTGAACTTTTTTGTTTGTTTGTTTTTGTTTTTTAGATTCTACATTTAAGTGAGATCATATAGTATTTGTCTTTCTTTGACTTATTTCATTTAGCACCATACTCACAAAGTCCATCCATGTTGTCACAAGTCACAATTTCATTCTCTCTTACGGTAGAATAATATTCTATTGTATTATAGTATATACCACAACTTTTCTTTTCCATTCATCTATCCATGAACATTTAGGTTGTTTCCATATCTTAGTTACTGTAAATGCTGCAGTGAACATCGGGGTGTATATATCTTTTCAAAGTAGTGGTTTTGTTTTCTTCAGTTAAATACCCAGAAGTGGGATTGCTGGGTCATACGGTAGTTTTATTTTTAATTTTTTTTGAGGAAACTTCATACTGTTTTCCATAGTGGCTGCACCAATTTACATACCATTAACAGTACATTAGGCTTCCCTTTTCTTCACATCCTCACCAACATTTGTTATTTCTTGTCTTTTTGATAATAACCATTCTAACAGGTATGGGGCGATTTCTCATTGTGGTTTTTCATTTGCATTATTACCCTGACGATTAGTGATATTAAGCATTTTTTCATGTATCAGCTTTGTTTTTATTTACCACTCTTTGCTGACCTCAAGTGCCAGTCCTTTGACCTAGAAAGCCCTTTCTCATTCCCCTATTTTCATTTGGTACTTTCTATGTGCTCTTTATCACTTAGCTCAGGTGATCCTTTTAGGTTGAGTTAAGTATTCTGCATTTCTCTTTTACATTCTCACAGAATCTCTTAGTAACATTTAACACATTGTAGTGGTGTCACCCATATATTTTTGTTTCCCCTACTATTTTCTAATCTTGATGAAGGCACTAATCTAATGCCTGCTGCCTTACCTTGTACAGAGCCTGACAACTAGTAGATACTTAGTGAGTTATGTGTATAAGTGAATGTATTGTTTTGAAATTTGAAAGAGAGAACAAAGAAATGTTAAGCTGCCACAGAGGATTGACTGGCTTTCAAGAGACATGATAAAGTGGCATTTATATTGCTAAATTAATAACATTCTCATGGTTTTGGCTTTAATCTTGTAGACCTGGAAAATTAATTTGATCTGTAAAGTGAGAGAGCATCAGCCCCTTGAGAATGATTTTACCCTAACCATGCTTACATAGACCAGAAAGTCAGTATATTCATATATACTGAGAAATGTAATTGCCATCCATTCTGGCATGCCAAATAAAAATTTACATTGGAAGTTAAGTGATAATGGAAATATTGCCCAGATTTTATGAAATCAGAGTTTGGAATATTATTAATGTATAAAATGCTTTAAGGGAAATTTGAGGTACTCTTTAACTTTCTCAGGTTACAGAAAACTAGTGAGCTTTTTAAGGGAACTAGTATGCATATGTCCTTTGGGAAAGGCTATGATTTGGTAAAATGCAGACTACCTGTGCATCTTGTTTTTCAGTTTTTCATGAGGGCCAATACCCATTAGATGCATTTATGCATATTCTATTTTAAAAAGTGCGATGTGGGGTAGTAGAGGGCAGGCAATTAGCAAAATGTATCTTACTTCATCTGGAAGAATAAACAGATTAAAGTACCAAAGGAGATCTTTATAAAGTATAATGAGAGATGGATTTTATCAGATTTTAAAGCATTATAAAGCTACAGAGTATTTTAAAATGTGAGAGATTTCCTATAGAAGGTGGATGATTAAATACATATATTATCTCCTCAATGAGCTAGTTGAAATATAAAAATGTATAAAACACATGGACAGAGAATAGTATAGATGCCCATTTCCAATCCATGCTCAGGCAGGAGACCAGTAGTTTAATTCACTGGGAAAAGTGAATGGGAAATGAGCAGAATTTATGAAAGTCTGGCCTAGTAGAGAGTGAGGGTGAAATATAGGACAAAAAAGAAGGGGATTAATTAAAAGTCTGCTTTAGAAAATGATCAGTCAGTGGCCACAAGCCCATCTCACTCCTATCCCTTCCACCTCCCTACCCTGCCTATAAAACTTTTTGCTGGGATTTGAGTGGCAGCTGTCTGTTTTGCATAGATGCAAACCATGTTTCTTATCTTTGAATGGGCATTTCAGTATAGTTACATCAGCTTTTTTCTAGTTAATAATAATTGTATG